CCCCTCCGGCCTCGGCCCCCGGCCGCGCTGGGCTCCAGGTGGGCAGGGCCCTTGGGACAGGGGCGGGGCAGTCACCCCTGGAATCCCACCGGTGGTGCTCCGACTTTAAATCGCACCGAGCCCAGCTCCTTTTGAAAAAAGCGGGATACCCCTACTTGGTGATTTGCTGGGTCCGTCTGCCCCCTGGTGGAATAAAATCAAAGTAATGAATTTTAGTCCCCTCCGGCCTCGGCCCCCGGCCGCGCTGGGCTCCAGGTGGGCAGGGCCCTTGGGACAGGGGCGGGGCAGTCCCACCTGGAATCCCACCGGTGGTGCTCCGACTTTAAATCGCACCGAGCCCAGCTCCTTTTGAAAAAAGCGGGATACCCCTACTTGGTGATTTGCTGGGTCCGTCTGCCCCCTGGTGGAATAAAATCAAATTAAAATGAATTGTAGTTCCAAATCAGACCCTTACACCCAACATAAACACAGAGCGGCGTGCACACTGTTCTCTGGGACCCTGTGCGAGATCTGTCTTTCTGAGACAGGGTGTCACTGTAGGTTCAGGCTGGCCTTGGACTGTGTAGCTCAGGCGGGCCTCAAACTCACTGTGATCCTTCTGCCTCAACTTCCCAAGTGCTAGGATTATGGGCGTGAGCCACCACGCTGTGCTCGCTCACTGGCTCTTTCCATTTTATTTGGCCTAGATCTGGACTTCTGGTGTGTTTATGTGTGTGTGTTTGGTGCTGGGGGGGTGTGTGTCTCACCGAGGACCTTGAGTGTACCCGACAAGCACTCCACCACCGTGCCACTTTGCCCCCCCCCATACAGACTTTGAATCCTCGCCGCGTGTGCTTGCTCATGTCTGGCCCTGTAACTAGTGTTCCTGCACCCTCTTTGTACTCTCCCCGTGGCTCCCAATGTAGGGCAACTGTGCCTTTTACCCCAGGAGTTGAGCGTGGTAGAACACACTGTAAATCCCAGGTCTTGGGAGGCTGAGGCAGGAGGATCACCACAAATTTGAGGCCAGTTTAGGCTACACAGTGTGTTCAAGGCTAGCCTGGACGGCTTAGCAAGATGCTGTCTCAAAAAACAAACACACTGTTGGGCATGGTGGTACGTGCTGAGGCAGGAGGATCGCTGTGAGTTCGAGACCAGCCTGGGCTACATAGTGAATTCCAGGTCAGTCTCAACTATACAGTGAGACCCTGTCTCAAAAAAAAAAGATCAGCTGGGAGGGCCGGGATTTGGCTCAGTGGTTCTGCCACCTGCCTCGCAAGCAAGCATAAGGACCCAAGTTGTTTTTTGGACCCAGTACCAAAAAAAAAAAAAAGAAAAAGAAAAAATCAGCTGGGGCTACATACTGAGTTCCAGGTCAATGTCAACTACATAGTGAGACCCTGTCTCAAAAAACAAACAAAAAAACAGACACACTAACAAAAATGATGACAACAACAACAGTGCCTTTTACCCCAATTATGGTGGCCATATTCTGGCCTTGGGTTTCCGTCCATAAGTTTTATCCTCAGACTAGAATGCTCACACTCTCCCTCCAGGTCTCTCCACGGTTGGCTCTTGTCTTTCAGAGCTCACCAGCTGGTCATTTCCTCAGTTTTTCCGGACCCATCAGTAATGTGCTGGAGCTGGTTCTCCTGACTCCTGAAGCTAAATTAGGTACAAGTCCTAACCGTTCGGTGGTGCCACTGGGGTAGTCTGAAAACAGCATGGTGGGAACACTCACATCTCTGGAATGGATGAGGTCAGCACACCAGGGCTTTGCTCCAGGAGCCGGCTCCCCACTGGACTAGAACTCACACTCTCGGCCTCGCCTGGTCTTTCTTTGGAATTAGCGGGCCTTGGTGCCACTGGGACCAGTTCCTTCCTCCTCTGGCGAAGAAGCGCTGGAACGCTCGTCCACGATGCACAGGAGGATGCTGTGAGCTCAGCCTTTCTCACGACTTCAGTGTCGCCAAGCTGGAGGAAAGCAGGGCACAGCTCTCTGCAACACTGGAGCAGCGCCTCTCAAGGGGCGCACTGCGGAGCCTGTGCTGAGGGATCTTCTGGGAGCACAGGTGAAGGGACACTTGCCTGTCTACACCTACCGTCATCTCTTTACCCTTACATGTTTGTGAGGCAGAGGCAGGTGCAGTGCCACTGAGCTAAATCCCTGGCCCTTTTTTTGAAGCAAAGAATTTATTGGTACATTTTATTTTTTATTATTTTTTATTTTTATTTTTATTTTTGGTACCGGGGATTGAACTCGGGTCCTTGCGCTTGCAAGGCAGGAAGCAGAACCACTGAGCTAAATCCCCAGCCCTGGTACATTTTAGATAGGCATGATAACATTAATTATAGGGAATTTGTACCTGTACATGACATAGCTTTTTCTTTTTTTCCCATTCCCTCTTATCCCTTCGACCCCTCTTCCCTTCCTTATATACAAAAACTTTGTTTTCACTTTTTGCTTCTTCTTCCTTGTCCCTTCCTTTCTTTCCCCGTCTCCCCTCCCATGTTCTCCTTTTCATTTGAACATTTTCCAATATGTACATTTAGTCCTTATTTCCACGTTTGGTTTATTACACTAGAGAAGCAATGCAGTATTCAAACACAGGTGTCTGATTTATTTCACTTAAGAGTATGATCTCAAGGTCCATCCATTTAGCTATGTGTCTCAAGCTTATCCTTCTTTATGGCATAGCAGTATTCCCTTGTTTGAAAACCCACATCTTCCTTGTCCATTTGTCGGGTGATGGACATTTGGGCTGTTTCTAAGATCTAACTATTATAAATGTGCCACTAGAAACACGGGTGTGCATATATCACTGTGGTATGATGCTTTTAATTCTTTTAGGAAGATACTGAGAAGTGCCACCAAGCCCAGCAAGCAGGAAAGGTAAAAATATTTATTCATCTCTTGACAGTAAATAAAGGGGGAACCCCAATCATGTGACAGAATTATCAGAGACCTTCTGAAAATGGCAGCCGCAGACTCTATCGCCGACCGCCAGGAGCCGGACCTTTCCAACATGGCGGCTTAAAGCGCGCGCGTCACTTCCGGAAGGGCGACGCATATAAGGCGCAGGATTTCCGCTTTCGCTCCTTTCCGGCGGTGACGATCTCCCCACGAGAACATGCCTGTGAGTCCCTCGCTCGGGTTACGCGGAGCTCTGCTCTCCTGTCCGCGCGCGGCCTCACGCTGCGCCCATAACAGAAGGTCCTCACGCACCCCCCGTGCGGGCTGGGGCCTTAACTCCCGGAGCGCAGCGGGGGCCGCAGAGCGAGCTAAGATGGCGGCGGGCGAGTCTCCGCGCCGAGCATCTCTGAATCTCTCCTTTTTGGTCCCTCTTAGCTCGCAAAAGATCTCCTTCACCCCTCTCCAGAGGAGGAGAAGGAAGCACATACTCCCGGAGCGCAGCGGGGGCCGCAGAGCGAGCTAAGATGGCGGCGGGCGAGTCTCCGCGCCGAGCATCTCTGAATCTCTCCTTTTTGGTCCCTCTTAGCTCGCAAAAGATCTCCTTCACCCCTCTCCAGAGGAGGAGAAGAGGAAGCACAAGAAGAAGCGCCTGGTGCAGAGCCCCAATTCCTACTTCATGGATGTGAAGTGCCCAGGTGGGAGGCCTGCGCTTCTGCCCCAGTCCGCAGGGGATGCTGTTGCTGACGTTCCTAAAATTCCCATTAGGAAACTGGTAAAAGCTTCCATAGGAGGAGTTCGTGCTCCCATTGAAACTTCCATATGTAGCCCAAAAGTAATTTGGCGTGATGTGGCCTGTCAGAGTTGCCCGGGTGGGAGGGGAACTGCACCTCTTCCTGCCTCAGCCTCCCAGAGCGCTGCGATCACGGCGGGTGGCTCAGTGGGCCGCTGACGCGGTGCTTTTCCCCCCAGGATGCTATAAAATCACCACGGTCTTTAGCCACGCACAGACGGTAGTGCTGTGTGTCGGCTGCTCCACTGTCCTCTGTCAGCCTACGGGAGGAAAAGCAAGGCTCACAGAAGGTAAGAGGAGTAACTAACGTGGGTTTGGGCTCTGTGTTTTAGGGAAGCACAAGAAAAGCTCTTGCGGGGCATGGTGGTAACCCCAGGACTGAGGAAGGATTGGGTTTGGGCCAGCCTGAATTGCATGCATAGCGAGATCCTGTGTCCTAAAACAACCCCCTCAACTCTGAAATCCGTCATTGTGTGAGAACAAGACTGCTTTCTGATAGTTACTGATCTGTTTTATCCAGTGAATAGACTGTGAATTTGGAAAAAAAGATTTTCTGAGATCTTACGTAACCTTTCAAATTTTAACAAATAAAAATGTGTCCTAATGTAAAAAAACTTTGAGAGTGCTTTGTAAGGGGTTGGGTTCTATACTTTTAAGGAAAGTATTACTAGAAACCATACATAAATCCCAAAGCACTGAGTAAGGCAGGCACTGATGGGTTCTGGTAAAGGATGTCACAGACAGAAGCTGGACTGGCTGGAAAGCTCTGGGTGATCTGGGATGGGGCGGTAGGCAGGTCTCAGGTAACATTCCCTTCTTTTTCTTCCAGGATGCTCCTTCAGGAGGAAGCAGCACTAACAGTACCCTGAGTCGAGATGAATGGGAAGCCATCCCAATAAACACATTTTGGATATGTCCTGTTTTATTGTCTTGTGTAACTGCTAGAAAGCTCATGCCTCCAGCATGGAGGGGCAGCCAGAAGAGTGCAATAGTCATTTGGGGCAAGTAAGTGGATAATAATGTTTTCTTAGTGTCAAGAACTGACAATATAACACAATCCAACACCACTTTTATTAAAACAGCTTAAAATCCTGTGATTATACTTGCAGGAGTCTTGTTTCAGAGGCTTAGTGTAGAGAATGTGGCTGGGCTGGAAATCTTTCCCTTGACAGTTACAGGGGACGTGTCCAAGGTCAGTGCCTTGCGCTCCATAGCCAGTGCGGAAGCTGGCTGTGGGGGCCTGGGGCTTGTGGGCTTGTGAAGGGAGGAGGAGAATCTGTGGAGGTATAAAGACCTGAAAGGTAAGGGAGAAGGGAGATGTCGGAAGGGTTAAGTTAAATGTGACTGACTGAGCTTCTCAGAGTGGAACAGTACTTCTTTACCTGGCTGTGGCGTCCTTACATTTGGTACATAAACAACTGGAACGGCTTGCATCTTGTTTAGGAAGGCATTGTATGCTAGAAAAATGAAAAGAGATGTCACAGAAAGCATCATGTGATTCTTACTGGAAGGTCTTGAGTGGTCCTTTCTAAGCTGAGATAATTGAAGTATTGATACGAAAAGTAAAACCTCTTACCCTGTAGGGATTAAAAACTCAACAGTAGGGCTGGGGATATAGCTTAGTGGTTCCAGCGCCTGCCTCACAAGTGCAAGGTCCTGAGTTTGATCCTCAGTTTCTGCCCCCAGCAAAAAATAAAAAAAAAAACAAAACCCAACAGTGATGCACTTAATATGTAGACTTGTTGCCTTGCCATTTCCTGAATAAAATACAGTTTAACTAGTGATATAGGGCCAGGGATTTAATTTAGCTCAGTGGTTCTGCTGCCTGCCTTGTAAGTGGAAGGTCCTAAATTCTATCCTGGTACCAAAAATCAACTAGTAATATAGAATTTGTATTTGGTGTTTGTAAGTAATGTAGAGGTGATTTAAAATATGTGGGAAAGGGGGCTGGGGATTCAGCTCAGCAGTTCTGCTGCCTGCCTTGAAAGCGCAAGGACCCAAGTTCAATTTCCGGTATCCCCCCCAAATATACTGTCCCATATATAGGTAGGTAAAAAGGAAATAAATGCAACTAGTTTTTTGGACATTCTGCAATCCTCACAGAATGAAGGACAATTCTTAGCTCATAACCTACTGGTTATACTAGTGCAAGACAATTTTTTTCTTTCCTTTTTTTGATACTGGGGAGCTTGCATTTGTGATGCGGGTGGCAGCACCACTGAGCTACATCCGCAGCCCAACACTTTAATTTAACCTGCATAAGTATCAACATTTCATTTAAAGATGGGAGAATGTGAGTGGAGACAGTAGTGATGTATTGGATCATTTCTAGCCATGAACTGGAGCAAAAGTTTAATTTTTCTGAGACAGGCTGTGTAGTGGCCTTGAATGGCAGTCTCTTGACTCAGCCTCTCAAGTGCTGGCAATACAGGCGTGTGCCACCACACCCGACCAAAAGTCGCTTTTTTTTTTTTTTTTTGTACCAGCGATTGAACTCAGGTCCTTAGCCTTGCAAGGTAGGCGGTGGAACCACTGAGCTAAATCCCTGGCCCCAAAAGTAGCTTTTTTATCTCAAGATGAGTGACTTCCACATGAGTGGTTCTCACAGTTTTGCATATCAGGTGATTGCTTCTTGGGGATAAGTTGAAGAGGACCTTTAATCTAGGTGACTGGCCTAGGAAGGCTAACTCAGGTGTTGATTTTCATCCCTGTTGGTTGGGACATTATCAGAGTCCACAGTGCTGAATACAAGAACACCTTACCTAGAAAGATGAAAGCTGTGGATGCCAGCACCACAAAGAAGGTAAAGAGGATCTGGTAAGAGCCAATCAATTGCTTGAAGACACCCGAATCTTCACATTTCTCTGTATATTGGCCATAACAAGACAGTGGTTATTTTTTTAATTTTTTGGGGTTTTTTTTTTTTTTTTTTTTTTTTTGAGACCCCAACTTGCTGTATAGTCCAGGTTTGCCTTGAACTCAGTGTGAACCTCTTGCCTCAGCCTCCCAAGTGCTGGAATTACAGTCAACGCACTATCATGTGTGGCCCTTGCTCACCACTAAAATGCATATCTTTCTAGTGCCCCTTTTTTGGGAGGGGAGTTTGAGACAGGGTGTTCATACGCAGTTCAGGCTGGCCTGGAACTGATCCTCCTGTCTCAGTCTTGTGTCCTTTAATAGCCCCAAATTTCCCCTTCACCAAATTTGTGACAGTGTATGTTCAGTTTATATCTCTTAAGTACTTTAACCTGAAACTTAAGAACACCAGTGGCCTCTTAATTTAGCTACTCCTTGCTCTACTCAGGATGTCATTTGTCATTTCTCGGGAGCATTTGTATTTGTACTAACTTTAGCTTTAATAAAATTGTACACTTGGAGCTGGGTGTGGTGACACATGCTTGTAATTCCCAGCACTTGGGAGGCTGAGGCAGGAGGATCACTGAGAGTTCAAGACCAGCCTGGGCTACATAGTGAGTTCCAGATCAGTCTCAACTACATAATGAGACCCTATCT